GAGATTCCGATAGGCACGGATGAAGAATCCTGGGCGGCCCTGTTCATGGTTAGTCAAAACGACCTTTTTTTAGTCATCGGACTAAGAGTGGAAGACGAACATTGTGGTTGCCAGGTCTGACGAGAGCATCATTTCCAAGGTAGCGACAAATATCTGCTTGAATAACTTCTCGGCTGATTCCTTCACCGGGGATGAAATATTCATTCTGACGCTCCGGGCGTCCTTCATAGCGGCCTGTCATAATGTATTCCGAGGGGGAAAATATCCGGTTTAAAATTTAAAGTCCTCGGATCCAAAGGGCCAGAAAGAGGAAGTCCAACAGAAATCCCGGAGTGTGGTAGATAGTCTGAGAGAGTCCTGGGGAAAGTTGAAGGATGGTGATGAGTCCGTTTATATTGTAGGATGTACAGATTCTATCAGGCGACGAACAGGTTCCAAAGCCGACAATCAACGACTTGAATGGTTTGTTTCCTTGATTCCAGGGCAAGCAGAAAACAAGATACGATCCGTGGGAAGTGGCCAGAAGAAAATTGTTCCTGGTCGCGAATAGTAAAAGTCCTTGGGAAAAAGTCCGGTTAATCCTGGGAAGAAATTCTCGCTGGTTGTCCACTGGGGCAATTATCCTGGGAAATTGAGAAGGCCTCAAAAACAATGGTGATTGAATAGCGACAAAGAGGTTGACAGGTGTTCAGGAGAGGATGAGTTGTCAGGATCAATTAGGGGAAAGAGAAACACGGGCTGGCGGGGTCCTGCGGGCTGTCTGTAATCTGTTCGGGAACGAACTAGATATTTGCCAGGGGGTAAAAAGAGTAGTTTGAAATGCTGGCAAGAGAAGCCAGAGAGAATATGGGGAGAAAGAAAAGAAAGACAGAGAGAGAGAGAAGGGAAGAAGGAAGAGGGGGGGAGGTAAAGTGGACATCAAAGGGCCAGGGCGGTTGGGCCGTCTTGGGCTGGTGCCACGACTCCCCACTGAGATCAAGGCAAAAGCATGCATGGTCAAATGTGGATTAGACTAATGTGTAACCCTATGCTTGTAGCCGCTTGAAAAAGTTTTCATTTTGTACAATTAGGTATTCATATATCAATATAACTATGGATATACACTCCCCCCCCTAAATCAAATCACACTTCCAATGTTGGAAAAAGTAAGCAAAAGTAAGCAAAAGTAGACAGCTGTACGGAGTGGATACATGGAGATGTACCTTGTACCCTAAAACTAGACCTTAAAAGGGTTGCTTTTGTTTCCCACTAGATTTTAGTTGGGACGAAAAAAATAAGGGCCGATCCCCCATACTCAACCAGCTTGGATTGCTCCTCAGTCTGTGCCCCTGGACCAGGTTAATATCGAAACTTTACAGGACTCCACCAGTGGATCTTCAGCAGCGGTCAAGCAGGGCTGTTGATAGTAAATGGGATCATCAAGAACTGTCAGATGTTCGTATGTGTGGTGGGAGAGGGTAGTGTCGAGGGGGTAGATCATAGGACTCATTGTGATTGATCCCTCACACACCATCTGGAAAACGAGCATGACAATAAAGGACCAATCTGTTGACAGAAAAGACCGGTGGCGAGCTGCGAACTTGCCACCTGGAAAGTTGGTGGCCGATGTCCACACGAGATGACCGTTGGGCAGGAATGCGTGGCTTTGGGCACCTGCGCGAAGGCTCCGAGCCTCTGGTCCACTCACAGCCCGTCTGTGTCAGCTGGATCGCACAGATCGGAGATCATCCTGTCTCGTTTCTTTTTTTTCATGTTCGAGACCTCTGCAGTGGACGAGTTACAACATCGGAAAATCCTGCACGAGAACACGACATCTGACTGTGCAGGGGTGGTTGAAGAAAAATAAGCAGGCACTAAGTGATGTGTCATTTGGGTATCTTCGGTCTATAACTCTGGGGAAGATAGAAAAATAGATTATGGCTGTCTTTAGACTGGTCTAGTCATTGTAGAAGAACATTGAAATAACATTGAACTCTTGTGATATGTAAGATGTAATGGAAATTCCAGGGTTGAATTGAAGTGACGACCTGAGCCAACAAACACAACTCAGTGTTGAAGCTAACACGTGCCGGCGCTAGTCCATTTTCGGTTCTTGTCCCAAGGTTGAAAGCATCAGATTCCAAGCTCTGACCGACAACCCCAACAATGGTTTGATCTTCACCGTCATGACGCATGTGCAAGCATGTCTGAGCCTACCGAGTCATCCGATCCCTTGAAGGTCTCACGATTTACCTATCGACAATTGCAAGGGCTGCGACAGGCATCCACGGCAACCCCTCTGCGTGTGGTTGCGCATATCGACCTGGATGCCTTCTATGCGCAATGTGAGATGGTCCGCCTGAGGACCCCGCGGGATATACCGTTGGCAGTACGACAATGGGACTCTTTGATTGCCATCAATTATGCGGCGCGACCATTCGGAATCAATCGATTGATCAACGTTGCGGAGGCCAGGAAACTTTGTCCAGACCTCATCTTACAGCATGTCGCGACTTTTCGAGAGGGAGAGGGAGGACGGTGGGCATATCGGGATGATTCATTCAGAAATATAAGCACGGACAAAGTGTCGCTGGATCCGTACCGAGCACAATCGAGAAAGATCCTCCAGACGATGAAGGAGGCTTTGGCCACATGGGCTGCCAACGACACAGAAGTCGAAACCCAGAACCCGAAGCAAGAGCTCTCTGCTGTGTTAGAGAAAGCTAGTATTGACGAAGTATTCATTGATTTGTCTCCATTGATATACATGGCGCTTCTTCAGAGGTACCCAGAACTTCGGATTGGCACACAAGACGAGAACCGGGATACGGAACTGCCTATACCGTCGACTACGGCCTTGCAGTGGGACACCGACTGCTTGGTGGATCTGGATCAACATGAAACGGAAGAAGACGATCCAGACTGGGATGACATTGTCATGCTGATAGGATCCGAAATTGTACGATCAGTGCGGAAGGCAGTTTGGGAGAAGCTCAGCTACACCTGTTCGGCTGGGATTGGCCGCAATAAAATGATTGCAAAACTAGGAAGTGCCTGCAACAAACCTAACCTACAAACCGTTGTGCGGAATCGAGCAGTGCAAAATTTCCTAAATGGTTATAAATTTACTCAGATCAGAATGCTCGGTGGTAAACTCGGCGACCAAATAACTGCCGCCTTTGGGACCGAGAAAGTCAGCGAGCTTCTTAATGTACCGCTTGAGCAATTACGCACTAGGCTGGCTGACCATACTGCAACCTGGCTTTACGGGATCATCCGCGGTGAGGACCGCAGCGAGGTCAACCCTCGAACCCAAATTAAATCCATGCTATCTGCCAAGTCTTTCAGACCGAGCATTAACTCACTTGATCAAGCTGAGAAATGGCTTCGTATCTTCGCAGCCGATATATATGGCCGGCTTGTGGAAGACGGCGTGCTTGAAAATAGACGTCGTCCGAAAGTGATTACGATGCACTATCGAACTGCGCAATCTCGTTCTCGTCAAATCCCAATTCCAGGCTCTTGCGCAATCGACGAGAACCTGCTCTACGATTTGGCCAATACTTTACTTCGCCAGGTTGTGGCAGACGGACAGGCATGGCCCTGTTCTAACCTGTCGCTGAGCGTGTCAAGCTTCGAAGATGGCGTGAGCAACAACAAGGCTATTGAGGGCTTCTTGATTCGCGGTGATCAAGCAAAAGCTTTGAGTCATTCTTCAAGACCCAGAGATGCCGATAATTCCCCCAGTGAACAAGCTTCAACTGAGAAAAGACGAAAGCTTGACGGAGACGGGGATAAGATAAAAAATTTCTTTGGGAATCAGTCACATCTTGAAGATACCGCCGCAGGTGAGCCAGACAGCCTCCAAGAACCCGCTGAAATGGATTCCGAACTGGGCGGAATTCCCCGGTTCGTATGTCCACGGTGCTCGAAGTCAATAATCGAGTATGAAAAGGAAGAACATGATGATTGGCACTTTGCCAAGGACCTCGCAAGCCGGGACAGAGAGGAGGCAAAGAGTTCACTGCCGTCACTGCCCACGAAAAGTAGTGCACGCGGGACAACTGCTCGTGGGAGAGGTGGGCGAGGTGGAGGGAGTCGGGGCAAGCCGGAAAAGGGGCAGATGCGACTTGCTTTCCAGTGACCTATGATCCTTATAATATTCTGTTCTCTGATGTATTCTGATGTGTTTTCACTTGGCTTATTATAGCTACGATATACCCAACATCCTGGACCAAAATCACACTATCGCCTGACTGACTGGGCCAACTAATATCGATTGTTTCATAATTCTATATTGTTAATTGTTAAAAACACACAAAACCCCGGAAATGTAGGTTAGGTTCGATGCCCAACAAAACAGTTCGGATATGCGGCTTTGGGCTGCTCTATAAGAATATGTTGAACATGGATAACGCCAAGCATTATACAACCCCACCTAGATACACCTGGGCAGTCAGAACGGTGGTTTTCGAGAAGAGAACCAAGGTTCCAACAGGATTAGCTAAGATTCTGGGGTAATGGAGAACTATAGATTTGGAAGAACTCGAGGAGTAAACAAGAGCGAATATCTTGGCTTGAACGAAATTGATTGTTTCACCTAGAGCTGCGAAGAGTAGTGACATCAGCCGCGGGGTCGATCACTTTGCTTTTCGTCAGCCCTTCGAGTCACACGGTCCACGATTTCATTTCCCTGTAATCTATCCCCTGTATTGTATGTGTACTCAGCCGATTCTCGATCTACCTTCTCGCTATACCTACATACTTATCTTGCTCGTTGTATTATCGGTAGCCGCGCGGTGATCCTGACTAGAACACAGCCCACCTTCCTTTTCGCAAGCCCCACCAGTCACTAACTACCAAATTCGACTGTTGCCTTGAGCTAAGCCCCTTTGACAGGCTTCCGCGCCAAAGCCTTGAACCTAAGGGTCTTCTCTTTCGTGGTCGACATATATTTCCGACCGTAGACACCGCCGATCGATCACAAGATCCAATGCGGTGATCACTTGCACAATCCCACGATGTCCCGCCGAGCACCACCCCGCGACTACGACGAGGAAGATGAATTCTACGAGATAGAACGAGAGCGCGAACGAGACCACAGACCGCGCCGACGAGATCGCAACTATGAGGAAGATGTTGAATATCGTCGCCGGAGGTCCGAGCCTCTGGTGGAGGATATGGAGCGTATACACATCCGAGAACGTCCCAGGCGAGAATTTATGGAAGAGCGCTTTGCGCCGCCGCGAGGAAGGGATGATATGGTTCACATGCGACCAAGAGAGGAGGTAGATATGGTCTCGCCTGAGCGATATATGCCTCTAGAGCGCGATGATCCCTACATGCGGCCGGCTGGGTCCCGGCATAGACCTCGTCCTCGTGAAGTGGACGAGGAAGACATGATATTTGAGGAACGGGAGATACGCCGGGGTAGCCGACGTCATCCGCGAGATATTGACGAGGATTCGATTTTCGAGGAGAGAGAAAGACGCGGGGACAGGAGGCATCGCCCTGCACGAGAGCGAGAACTCGATAGTGATATTTTCCCCGATGAAAGTAAAATGCGTGGACTAAGGAAGCCTCGTCCTGAACGAGAGCGAGAAGTCGAAGGCAGTGTCTTCATCGAGGAAAGAGAAAGGCGCAGAGATAGAAGGCGCCGCCCGGAGATAGCATCCGAAGAGGATTTTCTGTCTGAGGAAAGACCAAGGGAAAGAGGGAGTGGTAGGATGCGTCGTTCGGAGCCAGCATATGAGGAGGACGAGGAACTTCTTGTCGAACGGGAAAGACGCCGAGGAAGTAGGCGCCACCCGCGGGAATTTGAAGAGGATGATTTGATCATTGAAGACAGAGAAATACACAGAGGGAGCAGGCGTCACCCGGAACGAAGGTCTGAAGACGATCTTCTCTATGAAGAGAGAGAAAAGCGCCACCGCAGGCGACGTGCAGAAAGGGAATTTGAAGACAACCCCTTGGTTGAAGAGCGGGGAAAACATGGAGGAAGAAGACACCGCCCAGAGCGGGAATTAGAGGAAGAGGAAATGTTCATTCGGCGGAAAGAAAGAGAAGAGCCTCCTTTACGTCGCGGATGGGACAGTGAACTCGACATTCGATCGCGTGAAAGAAGATTGGAGTTCGAGGAAGAGCCCTACCACCGACCACGGCCACGGCCTCCACCCCAAAGGGTCGAGGTGGAAGAGGTCCTGCTTGACAATGCGCCTCCCGAGCGACGCCGAGGCCCAGTCGATTTTCCAGATCTAGAAGTGGAAGATGACGTGGTCGTCCGGCAGAAGGAGAAGGGACCACGACCAGTCGACCGTGTTGATGAAGAGGAAATGGTTATACGCGGGCGAGAAAAACGGCGCAGTGTACCTTCGGAGGATCTCGAACGCGAATTAAGAGGTCTTCGGCGAGAAGGTAGGGGCCGGATTCCACTGGACGAAGAGCTTAGCGCGAGCTCGCAGTTTGACTCCAAGTCAGGCACCAGAGATACTGAAGAGGTTAAGGAAGAGATCATGATTCGGAAGTCAAAGGACAAGCTTTCATCTCGCCAGCCGTCACCTTCTCTGGATTCGATACATGTACCCCCAATCCACCAGGACGTGTTCACCCACCATACGCACATTGACCATGGTAAGACCGATTTTGGTAGCCCAGCAAGAATATTCTTCTAACCGAACCCAGGCTATAAAGACGTTCATACACCTCGTGTGCGTAGTCCGCAACCGCGGTCCCGGAGAGATAGTTTTGATGAGATTGATATTAAACATCGGTAAGTAGATAGATGGTTTCTCCTTTTTGCCGCACGCTAATATTCGGCATAGAAAAATGCGAGGTGGACGAGTGTCAGAGGAAAATATAGTCCTCAAACACAGTGATAGTGAAGAGTCTCTGACTCCAGAAGACTCAATATCTCCCACTAGCGGCCCAACTGTTGATTTCAAGGACCCATGGGAGCGAGAAACAATATCCGCAACACGTCGTCGGCCCAAGTCACTGGAAGACGAGAGCGAGTCAGATTACAGCTCCGGAATAAGCGATGCTCCTTCCATGCGCGAAGTGGAAAGGGATATAATGATTGAGAGCACCCGCGTAGTGAACAAGGGCCCCAGAGGCGCGGATGAGTGGTCAGTGGTGCATGCTCCATCTCCTGACGAAGCCATCGAGATGACCGGAGCTCTGGACGTTGTTGAGGTCAAACCCCGACATTCGCCGGTGGACGAAACAGAAGTGGGACGAGTTGCTCAGCAGGTCACGGACTCGGAGGAGACACGAAACGATCGGTGGACGGAAATTGCGAAGAGATTGGTAGTGAGGGAAGCTATTGAGCAGATGGGATTTGAGTACGAAGAGACGAGGACATGCTATTACATCTTCTCGTACCTTAAGTCGGTATGTATCATCTGAGCGGACAGCTTTGTTGGATTCTGACCTGTTTGGCGACAGGATGACATAGATGAGCTTGTCGAGTTGTCCGATGAGATTCGAAGTGCTCGTCGCAGACGCATTCGTGACATACAGCGGGAGCGGGCCTCTGTTCCTGACATCGTACCCCATATGAGACCTCGTATGGGAATGCCTCCGCGAGCCCGGATGATAGAAAAACGCATGCAAGATATTCGAGATCGAGAATGGCAATTTCGGCGCTAATGCTACCTATTAATCTGATGTTTATGAACCATGAATTTATGATAGTCTTGTTTCCTGCGAAGTGCCCTCGACGTTCAGTCAGTATATCAATACCCCCTAATATCGCCCATCAGGTCCTTCCCCGACGGTGAATGCATCGCGCGATGAATACAACGCGCGGGCTGCATTTGAGTATATAAGTAGCTGGAGACCAGAACAAACGATGTTCTCTCATTCAGACACCCACGCGCAAGCCCTCACCGTCTTTTTTCCCGATCCAGACCTACCTTCACGTGATGAATATGTCAAACGCATCCGCATCAGGTAGTACACTCCCCCCGGCCCCGGGAATTCCTCGCAATTGAGTCGCTCCTCCACGGTCGTTCGTGTGAATGATGAGAATTTCAATATCCCGTGTCCTCAGCGGGAGATCATCCTACGCCAGCTCAGGAAAGCTCTGTTAGAGCAACCAGTCCCCTCCCCACTATGGGCGGTTCTCCATGTATGCGATCTCGAGAGCCTTCAATGGATTCTACAGCTCGCCCGCCTCTCACTGAAAATCATCGAGAGCATTGCTCAGGTTATCTGTACTATTTCATTCAAATGGACGGTGCTACCACCTACCTCCCAATCGGAATCGGAACAACCATACTTGCCTGCTAGTTTCAATTCCCCTGCTAGTTTCAGCCCACCTGCTAGTTCCAGCCCACGGCCACGTGCTCCCCCCGTTGCAATTTACGCTGCCAGACAACGGGATGGATACAAGTGTGTCATCACAGGCACCCGCAAGATTTACCAAACGACTCCGATCTTCCCAGCTAGCGCATTGGCCTCCAACTTGAAGAATGATCCACAGGCTCCTAACATTTGGAGATTCGCCGATGTTTTCTGGGGAAAGGTTAGAACCGAAAGATGGAGACAGGCCGTTTTTAACGACCCAACGCAGCCCGAAAAACCTGTTAGTGATTGTACTAATCTGATCTGCCTTCGGAGAGACCTTCGGTCTGCATGGTCAAGTGGTTTGTTTGCCCTGCGTCCCGTCTCGGTCTCTGATGATGAGACCGAAATGGAAATTGAGTTCTACTGGCAGCCGAGGCCAGACCACAAGCTTTACGACATGGTTGATTTATCCAAGCAGCCCATGTCTAACAAGAACATCTCCAGCGTGGATCGACTGGTCGTGATGGTAGGAGAGCGTGGGGAACCATCATATCATGCTATTGAATCCGGCCACAGATTCAAAATGACAACCGACAACCCCGCTGAGCGACCGCTTCCGAGTTTCGACTTGCTGGACATGCAGTGGCATTTCACTCGAATGGTCGGCTTGTGCGCTGTGGGCACTTTCTTCGATGAGGATAGCGAGGATGGATGTGATGCCAAATCCGACATTACTGCCCACATTACTACCCAACCAGAGCGGCCGTCCACCCCGCCAAACCTGGTCACTCCGTCAAACGAGGACGTTCTGGCCTGGGTTGAATCTGTGTCGGTCGATTCCGATTACGATTCCCCTCCCGGTTCAGAATTCGTGGAGGATATCAATGAATTGACGATTGGCCCTCTGCCAGGGTCCGGCACCAACCGTTCGCGCAGTGTTAGCCAGAGTTCGAAGAGTTCAGAGAAGACAGCAAAGTTGTGTCCGGCGGATTCAGCAAGTGTGGAAAGTTCAAGCAGCGTGATTGAGATGATCTCCAGAACTGGGAATCTATCCATCGGCTTGCAACGTGATAGTTAAATCATAGGTTCAGATCCAAAAACATTTCATGTACCAAAGCACACAGACCACTTTTTCCTGCTCATATTTTTATTATGTGGCAGGTGTATGATGTATCTCGAAACACCTTTTTAATTGAACCTGTTGATTTGAATATTGAATGGTCGCAAAACTTACTCCGTACATGACCTTTGAAATGAACGTTGTACCGACAAATGTAAACTTTCAACTTCGAGATATGGTTCGCGGATGCCTCATGCAGGCTGCACCAAGAGATCAGCACTGTAGGCTTGTTTCAGACCTAGAACGCCACCTGCAAGCCACCAGGCACAATAACAAATAATTGTACGGAGATTCAGCATGTCCTTAACTTCGCCACATGTTGAATCAGCATGCAAAAAGACCAGGCCCGAAATGGAGAGCCCAGATCGAGTAACCCTAACTACGCGGCGCCCCCTGCGGGAGATTACGTCGTACTGGGCTAGCTGTCCTTCCACTCGCGCGTTGTGGTGGATTTGTCTCAGCCATATGAGCCACAACACATCATGACTCTAAGGCTTGCCTTGGCATTGTCCAGATGTGTATGGAGTAAGGTTCGGTAAACCGATTTGTATTGGATATTTAGTACGGAGAAGTATTGGATTGCAAAATGGATTTCAATGATTCTCGGTATTTATTAATGGACTATTGGTCCGCGTATTAAAGTTCTGCACTCGGAAAACAACCTTGGAAGTGACCAGGTACGGAGGACGGAGTACCTAGGTACAGTTTAAACGCCATTGAACCACATGCAGTTATATTGTATATGTGTAACAAGGAGTCTTAAATCCTTCGCTTATAAGACAAATTGTATGCAATTTGAAATTTCAAGATAGGCACATAGGCACCTACGCATGATTGTATCATTTTTACGTTTTTACGCCAAGTGGAGATGCTCCACTTGGGAGATGAGTGGGATGATTCATATTGGATGAGTCGAGAAAGGAAATAAATCTTGGAAAAAGGGGAAATCATGACTCTGTGTATGTTGTACAATGTTGTACAACACTCTGTTGGTTAGTTAGTCTAGTTATGTTGGATGTTGTGCCAGACTAGATTAAGATGCGCAAATCATTAGTCCGCAAACACAGTCTAGAGAGAAACGGGAATTGTATTTAATAGCCGATTGATCCCATTTGTTTCATCGCAACCGACTCGCTTCCATCCGACAAATCACAGCGATCTCTCGAGTCGATCGTCGTTTCTGGCGGCTGGGCATTGGGAGGGGGTCGAGAGCATTCGGTGACTCCGTACAATATTATTCAATTCCCGGGGTGATACTCCGTAGAATTCCCTGTGTTACCTCACGGTCTAGACACATTGTACCAGGGAATTCGCAAGTTGACAGGTGTCTATTTCATCATGATATACGGAGTAGCCTTGGAAAGCCCTGGTTCATAACCACTTGGTCCAGGTCCCATACGTAAGTTGCTGGATTGATCGTAGAGTGGAGGAAAGACTTTTATTGCCACGATGGAGCTAGTCTCAAAATCTCCTAGAGAGCTTTTCTTTATATAAATAATTTCCAAATTAATACACACAGGCCAAGCCAAAGTTGGAACATTCTTACGGAGTACGGAATACATACGGAGTAGTGTGAGGAGTTTTCTCTCCACCCAATTACGTATGTCCACAATTACGCTATGTACTTTCTAATCCTGGTAATGCATTGGTGATCTCTCCGGCAACTGTTTCGGATATAATGAAGAAAATGATACACAAATAGAAGTACGTTATTCCCTGATATTCGGGAGTTGATTACGGAGTTTCAACATACACAATACACAATACACAAATACACAAATATACGGAGCAGATCGAAAAAGAAAAAAAAAGGTATGAAGGGTGGAATGTTTCCTTGGTCCAAGGATCTTTGGTTCTACCAGTCAGGCCATTGCAGTGGAGAAAAAGCGCATTAGGAAAAAAGTCAATAAAATACTTGTTCGACTGTTATGATGTGTTAGACTACGACTGTGTGAGACGGTGTTATATCTGTTATACCTTGTTATACACTGGGAAATATAAAGATTAAAAGATGGCTTGTTATAGGCTCGCACTTTGTACATAGATACATCCACGGACCTTACAGAGATAACAACATTGGAAGATATCCTATAAAGGGCCGAATGTCTATAGAGTGAAAACAATAGATCTGTACTTCGTAAATAAACTACAATGTTTTTTGGAGATCTCAATTAATTATTCTAAATCCCACAGTAAAATAGGAAAATCAGTATCCACCGGGTATGTCGGGAGGCCTCGACATACTCCGACGAGGATAGTTAAGTGGAGGATAACAGAGCAGGATAGCACCTGAGGCCCGTGACTGTGGAGATCCCCCTTCTCCTCTTCTCTCTCTTTCCCTCTCTCTTTCCTGTGTGCACTCAACTTCATCTTCTCCTCCCCCTTCATTTCATTTTGTTTCTTTCTTTTCTTGTTATTTTGTTGCCTAGCCCTTCAGCCCTCCGAGTCATCGAGACAATGTGCCTTTGATCCGGGATCACCTACGACTTTTTTCAGTGCTTAGTGGGGGGATCAACAACAATTGGGACGTTTTCGATCGACTGCCATCGATATATTAGATTCTGCCTTCAGACACTATCGGACTCTGGTCCATAGGTGATCGACAATTCTCGTCGGTCGGCCCACATACAGCCAATTTCGATCTTCACTCTGCGCAAACTGCTTACCGTCGCTACCCTTACGCTTGTCGGGATCTGGGTGGAAAAATAAAAGAAAACCACAAATACCAAGGAAGGGCGACCCGGTTTAATAAGAAATTATCGATCGAGCACACCCACCATGAAGGTCGCGGAGGTGGTCTCGGTTTTTGCTCTCCTGGCTCGGCCATTCGCGTCGGCTGCATCTAGCCTCGCATACTGTGCTTCAGTCAACACGGGGTCTTCCTTTAGCGCAGGTAAGCGATCGCAAAAATTTGAAGATTTGACTATCGCTGACATCCCACAGTTTCCGACACATATCAATCAAATGGAGCATGCCTAGCAACTTGCGCCAATTATGCCCTGGGTATCCTACAAGGGAAGAAATGCTGGTGCTCAAATGTTGCTCCTTCTAAATCGTCGCAAACTTCTGACACCTCAGACTGTGATGGTGCATGCCCCGGTTATCCCGCAGACAGTTGTGGAAGTGCATCCAAAGGAGTGTTCGCCTATATAGAAATTACAGGCAACGATGTGACTAGCACAGCCGGTGGTTCAACAACCTCAAAAACCACTTCGTCGTCATCCTCAACCTCAACATCAAGCTCAACCTCAACTTCGGTAAGCAATCCCTCCTTTTTTGCTTTTGGATATCATTTTTCTTGGTTTCTTTTCGTTTTCTATTTTTGGACCGATAAACCTTCCTGTCAGCCTATGTAGCATGATTGGGTGTTCAACTCTTTCTTAGCTTGTGGCTCTAATATCCGGGATAGGAGAGTACGAGCGTTCAGCCTGAAACTGTCACTGTGACTGCCTCGAATCCTTCCACTTCATCCTCACAAACTGTATCTTCAGCATCACCGGTTTGATTGAATGGCACTTTTGGCTAACTTTTGATCCTAGTCAACTACGTCGGATGAAACAACCAGTACCTCATCTACTGTCTCAGTCCAAACCAACGCTGGAGGCCAAGTCAAGACAATCACTGTTTCTGGGTCAAGTGCGACTGCTGGCGCCGATTCCGGATCGACTACGACTGCCGCTACCAGCTCGAAATTGAGTGGAGGTTCCATCGCAGGAATTGTGATTGGTGTTCTTGGAGGACTAGCCCTGATTGGTGCCCTCATCTTCTTGATCTTCTTCTACCGCAAACGCGCTCGTGCCGTCAGCCCTATCCCAAGCCAGGAAATGGCCGACGACAGAACCAGCAGGGGATCGAGCTTCATGGGAGGGTTGTTCCCACGGAGCAATGGAGAAGGTGCTGCTGGTGGATCTATTCCCGCACGTTCGGGCACAACATTCACCGATCGGCGAATGAAGACCAGCACTGTTCTCTACCCGAACGGTGCTCGGGATAGCAGTGTTTCGCTGCAAGACAACGAAGACTACTCGCGTCCTGTTCTTCGCGTAAGTTCAATATCGAACTTCGGAATTTGGCCAAACACTTTTGCTAACTGCGTGATTTCTAGCTTACCAACCCTGATTAAATTTGGAATAACAATTTTATTTGATCGCCTTTCCTTTCTATCCTGTCGTCGTCGGCACCTTTCAATCTCCATTAATATCACGCCATCCCAAAATAGCCCCGTTATGATACCCAGTTGTCGCTCGATTTGTTTCTCCGTCCTCCCTTCTATTCTTATGGGTGCAGCTGCGGAGAAACTAGAAATAGCGGCACATGAAGCCGAGCGCCCTTTTCCCCACCACCAAGGAACAGTTCTGAGGGTGCATGCATTGGCATTGGCCCGTCAGAACACACTAGAGGATAACAGAAAATAAGAGCCCAAGCCCAGAATTGAAATCTATGGTTAATCCCCCGGCCAGTTGAGACGCCTTCACGAGCAACACATACATTATCCTGCATACATACCCGCCATATCGATGACGATGCTAGCCCATGCCGCCATGATCTGAAAGTACACATACATTGCCATCTTTCGGTGCATCTGACATCACTAGCCTCTGGGCTCGTCGCTTTCTTGGCATTTTTATCATTCTCTTGCTCTTATTTGTCTGAATATGCTTATTAGCTTTGCTTGTTTTCTCTTCATTTGTCATGTACTACTCAGCCTCTTCTGTCGCTGCTACCCGTCTTAATTGTTCGTACATTTGCTATAACTTTGATCTGAGGGGATACGTCCCCGGCGCTGTGCTTAGACTGCCTGATTCAATGGAACTATTCTATTCTACTCTTGGGATAAAGATTCACTCACCACTTCGTCCCGTTGAATAGAGTCATATTATTGTAAATTGGTCTGGTAGTATGTCTTATTGGCTGTTCGCATTTGGCGACTTTTTTGGTCACCACGGAGCTATATAGATGGTTTCATGGTATAGATGGTGTTCTCCATGATTGATATTCGTCCATCATTTCTTATTTCCTCCTCTCGCAGAGGTATATCACTATGTTTCTTCGTTCTATTGCCAGTGCAACATAGGCATAAATACCTACGGGCTTCAAGCCTGGCAGTCTACAATCTTCCTAGTCATACATTGGAATTGCAAATTCTATAACGATCTAATTCCCTCATTTCTTTGCTAATAACAATATATAAAACAAACAAAGGAATAAAACCCACGCAATCAACATAGCAGTTAAATTTAGCATCGAAGAACACGCAAAAAGGAGCCGATCCATCTCATCATCATCTACGTTTTCCCTCGCCAGGCTACAAAGACGTGTCACGATCTCCTTGACCTGACGTACCCTATCATTCATTCCAGGGGGCAATATTGGCATTTCAAGCATCCTTGTATCAGCGTGCATCTCTGCTGTTGCCTGTGTCGTTATATGATTTATACAAACATCTTTCAAGGTCTCCAAGAACAGGACTCTCCTTTCAGGATCAACCTCTTTCCTGACCACACGCAAAAGACGTGGCAAGGCCCTCCCTAACAGGCCTGCGTTTTCAGGATCAGTACCAGTACCCTCTCCTTCTCCTGTCTCTTCTTCTTCCTCTGACCACTCGAGACCTTTTATAGCCTTGACAAGAGCGTACATCGAAAGATAGCTAGCCTGTTCGGACAGATATGTTGAGTCTTTTGAACAAGATCGCAGATTGGACCAGAATCGAAATTCGCAGCGGCCAATGGAAGAATATGTGGCGCGATTTCATGGATGAGGTTGGGGTTGGACTTGACTGGCTCATCAAAGATACACTCATCCCAACGATGAAGATTTGACATGATTTCCATGATCTTTCGTGCTAGGTCAGCATGGGTATCACTCTCCAGTATACATGGTATTTGTGAGCCATTGCCATCACGGTTGATGCAATCTTCCGCATACTCCGTGATCTCGGGGTTTCCGAGAGTAAGAGCTGTGGCGTATAGCGATGGTGTAAACAGCTTCCCGGGGTTATATCTAAATATGTTTTGGATCTTTATTCCGATGATATTTAATGGGCTCTAAGAGATGCTACGAAGACCTTGCATGTGTTCTCAGTATTTGGGGCTTCCCTTGGTTGTTTTTGTCATGATATCAATGAATGGATCCATTAATTGGCTCTTTCGTCCGTTATTTGTTTCATAAGTTGGACAAAGGGGAGTTTCTAAACATTAATATAAGCCGTACTAAGGGTGATTCTAAGGGAAACAAAGGACAGAGCGCATCATTCATTGGATCTATTGTAAGCTTAGAAAATACAACTCGGGGTGTAGGAAAGCAGTGTTCACTGAACCATACAAACAATTGCCAATTGATGAACTAGCCAATCTTGTTGAACTTGGGTGCATCTATGACTGCACAAAGCCAAACACGCTGCATCTTCGCTACTTCTGGTCGAACCATTATCTGCATGTAGTGTTTGAAACTACATATTTTCTCCTGGTCTTATTGTTGGCTAAATACTATTGGTATACATTTCCATGGTTAACGCACGAATACGTATAGTCTACACTCTTTCTAGGCTCGCATTGATTGTCTTGGAATGAGAACTGTTAGAAGGGCTTTATTTCTCTCAAGTCCTCATTGCTAGGTACATATATAGACTAATGACAGATCCCCGTCCTCGTATTTTTGGTTTAGAGAAGACCCGACACAAATCACAAAATCGAAAACAAATGCTAGTTTGAAAAATCTGAAACCACCACAGAACAATGTTAATACGTGAAAGAAAAAGCTAGAATCGAAGAAGCCGCAAGATGACCATCATGACTCGGTCCATCTCATCATCGGTGTTTTCCCTTGCCAGGTCCCAAAGACGGCCTAAAGCCCTACAGAGTTCGTGTGTCCGATCATTCATTCCGGGAGGCAATAGTACCTGTACCTCTGTAAGTTTATTCATGTAAGCGATCCAGTCTACCCTTAGCTGACTCACTATGTGAGAGTTAATGACGGCCTTTGAGGTCTCCAAGAAAAGGGCCCTCTTTTTAGGATCAGCCTCTTCCCTGATCGTGCGAACAAGGCGTGGCAAGGCCTTCTCTAATAGACTTGCCCTGCCTTCTTCTTCTCCAGATTCAGCATGTATGGCTGGGCAAATATGTTGAGCTTCTTCTACCAACTCGCGGGTTCGATCCGAATCAAAATTTGCGCCCGCTAAGGGAAGAATATGCAGTGCAATTTGATTGACGAGTTTGCACTGGACCTCAATTTGTGGAACACTTGAACTAGGTCCATACCGGTAATAGATATTGCACATAATCTCCATGATCTTACGTGCCATGTTAGCATATGAATCACTCTCCGGTATTTGGGGGCTGCTGCCGCCGTCGCGGTCTATACAAGCCTCCAGGTAATGCACAATCTCTCGTCTCCCAAGGGTAAGAGCCGTGGCATATGCTGAAGGCGAATACAGTGTCTCGGGGTTATGTACCAGGGAGGGCTTCCGCCCTTCTTCGTAGAATAATTCTAGGATCGTCAAGCTTTCGGTCCTAATGGCGCAGATAAGCGGCGACATAATGTCCCTCTCATGTTGCTCTTTACTCACGCCACGGTTAATAAGCGTTTGTATAATTCTATATTCGCGGGCTAAGATTGCTGCCTGAAGCTCACGCCCTCCTATATAACTTTCTAGGGGAGCGAAGGCATTTCTATCAAGAATTAAGTATGCAATTCCAAAATGGAATCTTTTGATGGCAGTCCATAGAGCAGTATCGCTCGATTTATCGATGGGGTCGAAATCGGCACCAGCATCGATCAATCTCATGGCGAGATCCGCGTCTGGGTTACATAGTGCGATATATAGCGGCGTCTCATTCTTCTTTGAGACCATTGTTATAGTCTCTATTGTCAGGTGAGGTGCCACCAGGTCGAACATCTCCGGCCAATTGCGCTCGGCTAGGGCATGCGCCGCGGTCTCCCCCAACCAATCTGCTCGGTTGAAGTCTACGCCTAAATCTATACAAGCCTGGATAGTCTCCAAGTCGTAATGACCAATAACATAATGGACGAAGCCGTGTATCTCAGTATGGTTATGGCTGCGGGCGAACGCAAGAATCAGGGCAGTATTGCCGGCGGTAGCTTTCTCATATGGTAAGCTGCCGAAGCGGAAGTCTGGATGGGAAGGATCAGCACCGTGTTTCAGAAGCAAAGTGACTATCTCAGGATGATTGGAGCTAGTCGCTATATGCAACATGAATTCGCCCGTAAGGCTATAATCGGGTCGTGGAACGCGGCCACCAGGCGGTGTCCGGGTTCCCGGGCGTAATCTCAACCCGGGCGTAATCTCACTTTTCTCCATTCCACCTTCTTCATTAATTCACTACACCCCCAATTCTCTATATTATGTCTCAAGAATTAGAAGCCCGCATCTCTAATGCCTTATCAGCATGCTCTGCTACCCAGAAACCTAACGTTTCAGCGATCGCCCGAGAATTTGGCATTACGTCTAGCATACTGAGGGGCCGCCTCAAAGGTCATAAGTCTAGAAACGATCGTATCCCAACCAACAAAGCATTAGACCCCGAGCAAGAGAAGGCATTAATTCTATGGATTGATACCTTGGACCAGGCCTATTCTCCCCCGACCGCAGGGCAAATTCAGGCTGCTGCTCTACAAATTGTTCGACGTCATGAACCCGCCCGCACGCTCGGAAAAAACAGGGCGTACGACTTTATCGCCCGTCTACCTTCACGCTTTGAGACTATTAAGCAAAAGCCGATGGAAAAGGCACGATATGAAGTCTGTGAACCTGGTTATATTGTTTCTTGGTACGATCGCCTACAAATTACGCTCAAAACCTACGGAATTGCACAGAAGAATCTATACAATTTCGACGAAACTGGGTTTCGAATTGGCGAAGGCAAGGCCTAGAACGTTGTTTCAGCCCGGGGAAATTCCAAAAATAATACCGGCGGACAAGCTGAATCCCTTACTGGTATCGAATGCGTCTCGGCCGATAGTTAGGTTATGCCACCGTGGTTTTTAGTTAAGGGTCAATTCTATATAGAGAGTTGGTTTATCAACACTAACTTACCCGACGACTATACTATATAGCCAACCCCAAACGGCTGGACCGATAAGATTATTAGTTTTGCCTAGATTCAGGTCTTCGACGAATTCACATCTTTCCGTGTTAAAAAAGGGGAATATCGTCTTCTTTTAATAGATAATCATAGTTCACACTTAACCTATGATTTTATTGAATTTTGTTAGAGAAAACGAATTATCCCCTATTGTTTTATCCTATATACAACACATAGCTGCCAACCGCTCGATAATACACTATTTCAAGTGCTTAAGTATTATTATAAGAAGTATAATAATGAGGAAGCCTTTTGGGGTAGTAATACGCGGTCAAAGGCAAATTTCTTCGCGGGAATCCACGATGTCCGGACGTCGGCACTTATAACGCGTACTATTCGACATAGATTCCGCGAAACTGGTATTTAGCCTATAGATTCTAATAAAGGCCTTACCAAACTTGGTATTTCGACTGAGGATAATGATCTACCTATAATGCCCGGTTTTATTATTCATAATATTACTTCCGGAACTACACCACCACCATTATCAAGCTCACTGCCTAATACCCCGCCCGAGACAGTACAAAAATTGAGAAAGGCAAGCACTAAGGTCATAAAGCATATTCAAAATGACTCGACAATCTCCCCGAAGGTGCGACAAAGCCTCTCTCAGATACTAGCGGGTGGCCTCGTTCTCGCTGAGGTCGGGGCTCAGTTTGCGGAAGACAACGTGCGAATTCTACGGCGCAAGAAGCGGTCTAATACAGCTAAGACTAAACGAAGGCTTCCGGAAATGGGCCCTCGTTTGGTTAAGGATTGTAAAAAGCACATAAATGATCGGGTTGATAAGGAAAGGCTACAATCATTCAATCGTTCGAAGAAAGCCTGGCGGGATGCAGCTATTTTAAAAGCAATTGCCGACGGAGAAATCGAGGATATAGGGCAAATTGGGTCAGATCATGATGAAGAGAGGCCTCGGGAATGGATTGATGATCTTTATTGTATTGATTTAGAAGGCGATGCTATTTAAATTCAATGAATTATTTGGTGGAATGGAGAAAAGTGAGATTACGCCCGGGTTGAGATTACGCCCGGGAACCCGGACACCGCCTGGTGGCCGCGTTCGACGACCCGATTATGTGTTAGGGTTGACGCCTGCGCACAAGTAATCCTGCACGGTCTCGATATCTCCACGCACAATAGCGCAAGCAAAGCTCTCAATTTCCCGTGGTCTATCCAAAAACTCTGGGGGATCATTCCAGATGGAATGTGTCGGTATGTGCCTTCCAGCAATAGCATCAGGTTCATCCCATTGCCAGCGAAGTTGTTCGTATTCTTGCTTGGGAGGCAGGGCGTGGACAATAAGACGAGCCCTCTCCTCTATGATACCGTTCCCGAGTAGCGAGTATATAGACTTGCAGGTCTGATGTAGCTTGGATTGGTCCCGGAAAGACAACGACTTTGCAATGCATAAAAATATCTCGACAGGCAAATCGCCCAGACCTCGACTGCCTAGGGGGTGAGGAGAATTTGACTGCTGAGACATGGTGACAAAGGGTTATTGTTAGACTTGGAATGTAGAATTTGAGGGCTCTGTGATACAATATAGAAATCTTTGAATATGAAATATAGTTTCAACGAGAGCAGAGCGCGCTTATATAGGTGATTTAAAATTATGCCAGGGTTCTCTATTTTGATGGTTCCTACTGGGCTCTAAAAGATACGACAAAGACCTCACAAAACATGTCTTCCGACTATTTAGGGATTCACTTCGTTGCCTTTGTTGTGTAGCTAACAATGGCTTGTTTTATAAAGGAAATAAAGGTCACCCTTACCGAGGACCATCCCAATGGAAACAAAGGAGAGAGCGCGTTAATACCTGGGAAATACTTGACACCGGGATTCTTACTCAACTAATCATTTTTTCCCTTTCCGCTTCCCCTCTTTATGCTTAATTCCTTGGATGAACACTCTGTTTAAAGAACGAGCAGGTAACAATAGAGGTTGTAGAAGGTGTTACAGCTACTCCAGCTGGTAGATCTCTAAAGCAGGGAGAGAGAAGCACGAAATCTTGGTTCCTAGATCTATAAAAAAAAAGCAGTATACTCATACCATGAAACCCTGGCAAAAAAATTGTTAAACGGATAAAGACAGACAAACAAAGCACTTAGTCTGCAAGAAAAATTCTCACAGACTTGGGATGATCCAGCAGGAGGCTGGAGGCGCATCGGAGGAAAATGGTTAGATTATTATAGGGGCATCCGAAGTAGCTAGTGGTCACTTCCGCTATTCACTCAGCAGCTTCAAGGCACCGGAATTACGCTAAGTAAGCCTACGGAAGTGGCTAATATCACCCGATACGGGGTAATACTAAGCATTTAGCCACAAGGTTGTTCTTATAAATAGACCTTTTCGTGCATTTGAAAGGACTAGGAGTGCCTTAGTTTCCACCCTATTAAAGAGCCAGTAAGTCGGCTCCTGCTTTAATGCTCTAGTCTAAGTGAGGCTGCGAGATCAACCTTTGAACCTCATACTAAATAGCACTAATAAGTATATTATTAATTTCTCTAAACGATACCTATTGTCGTAGCTAATTTGATCGCTAATATGTCGGATTCCTGAAATAAGGGATCCCCGTTCAGTATTTTGTCTGTTTGAGCACTAGAGGGTGAAGAAATACGGAATACTATATATAACGAGAAGAAAGCAATGTTACACAATGTAAATGTGTAAAACCCTCCGACGATAGGTATGATTCAGAAGAATTAATAATATATAGAAAGACTAGACTTAAATACAAGTGGCCCTCGCTTGCTTCAGTATAGGAAATCCCATGATAGTGGCATCGCATAAAGCTGAAGAGTGGGTAGCAGAGTTTTCACAGTCCAAGAGCAAGTGCTGCTCCACAGTATTCCTGCACCCCTAGTTGGGGACGGCATGATTCTTAATAGAGTTGAGGAACTGTTGGTATCGGTATCTGGTCTCTGTAATCAAGGGTCATAGCATGTTTCTGACCAGTCCTCTCACACCAACCTCGAGTCTCTCCTTGTCTTGATTGTAGTCTTTGGAGTGGGCTTTAGAAAGAGTATCTATCATAAAGGTGTATAATAGCCGAGTATTATCGTCTCCCGGAAGAATTCGACCCACTTAGGAGAAATATAACGCGACATTTTCGAGCTTAGAGGATGACCCTATTACTACATCTAAATTAATATTAATCCACCGATTATAAGTAGAACAACCTCAATTTAAAAATGCGGGGACTATCCAATGATAAGGCTAAGACGCCACAATGGTTGCTTTAGTTGTATTTTATTCAACGAATCAAAGAATTCATATCAATGTCCTGATTATGTTGTAAGTGAGGCTGGTGGATCTAGACGGGTTCTGCATAAACTCCAAAAGCCGAGCAAGATGATCACTGCTTGGATATGCGTCATCCAGTGTTCAACGAAGTAGTTAACTTTGCCCATTGATTTACAGCTTATAAGCAGTCAGAGTACGATGCATGTCATGAATGAGTAGATTCACACCCTTCTTGTACTTCAGCGGTGTCTGTAAAGTGGATGATGCCAATTACCCACCTCATCGCACAGGCCGTTCTGAAGATATCTGCCGTTTTACTATATATTGGTACCTTGACCCTATTATACTCTTGTTCGGAGACCTTCTTTGATCTCTAACAGATGCTTCTATGTCATTCATAATATAATAAAAACTGGCTATCCGTGACAATTATGGATCTAAGTTGAATGGGCAGGCTTTGGTCTTTGGTCTTTGGCCTTCAGACATTTCCAATCATGATGGTCATCGTTTTATATATCGTCATCAAAATACCTAATTCACTTATGCACAGGCAGACCCTGCAGATTAGCCCGACTTCGGTGTGATCTATTTACAGTTTCCCCACTCTAAGAAAAGTGAAGCTCGAGCCCAAGCTCGAGCCCAAGCTGGACGAACGCCGAAACGCCGAACACCCGTGGGGTCGACAATCAGACCCTTGCATCAAGACAATCTACCAAGCGGTTTGACATTTCATCCTTTGAGATCGGACTGAGTCTCTGAGCGTTGAGAACGTTCTTCTCTTATATTGTTTCCAGGCAGTTTGTATTCCAATTATATTCCTGTTCCGAATGTTGTGCTCTGATTTAATTCCAGGAAATTGAACGCTAAAGGACACTGTGTTTATGTCTGGTGACGTTTGGCGTTATTAAGTCTATTGAAGTAGTCAAGTCGTGTGCTCTTGTGGCATGCGTAGGTCGGTATTATTGTGGGGAGGTGTGGATCGTAATGTATGAGTATGTAGTGCATGCATATGCATACACAGCGGGGGCGTATCAGGATGGCTGAATACCTAAAGCCGTCCAAAACCGGCGCACCAAGATTGGTTAATGTAATCGACCACTGGGGCTGACCCACTAAGTTACCTAATAGATAATTGCACGCAGATTAAAGCTAACCGCGGCAAGCGCTCATATACTAGATGATAGATCGAACAAATTGTGTCCTTTCCATGGCCACCATCTAGATGTTGCAAGTGCTTTCCTATAACTGTCGTCCAACAAAACCAATTGTTAAAAATGAAAGACTTTTATATTCAAACGCAGCTCTCAATCATTGGCAAGAGCTTGAAGATTTCGAAGTTTTTTCTATTTTCACCTTTTCCAACTTCCTTTTTCCCTTTCGTTTCCGTTTGAACAATCATAAAACGAACAAACGAACTTAAAGACGTCTATCGAGCTATGGATGTAGTTCTGCTTGATTTCTTTTTCGACTTCATTCTCAATACCAGGTATGTCGGTGTACTTACTTCCTCTGCAAGCCATGCACTGAGCCATTCTAATGCAATGAAACATAGGGCTCGATGCGTCCAAGCCGTTGTGTTGGCACCGGATAACGATTTATTTGATCTGATGCAGAGAATCCATTCTCTGCACTGCGATAGAGATGGGAAACGTCACCTAAGCCCACTTAGCATTTCGGATGCAGTTCATATATGGCAGGACCTTGATGACTGGGATCCGGCAGAAACGGAGCTCATCAATGAGGATGACAACTTGTATGAGTCCTACAAGTTTGCATTGTTTATCTGGACCTATATCATTGTACACCCAGCCGAAGTTGGCGGAGAAAAGGTCCAGGACGCTTTACACCATGCCATATCCAATATATCGGAAGTTGAGGACCCTGATCTGATGCCACTTGTCATTATTCCGCTATTTTTCAGCGGGTTGGCAGCTATTCAACGTGTCGACAGAGATCTGGTCAATGAGCAGTATCAGCGAGTTGAGAGTTACACTGAACATGGCAGCATCGCACGTTCCAGAAGTATTGTCCAATCGAGCTGGGAGAAGCACGATAATGGTATGAAGCAAAGCTGGGACTGGAGGAGGTGGGGTGACTCATCATTGATTGGTAGTTGATTCAAAGGGAGGAATTGTTGGGTCATTCATCATGCAGTTCACCCATAACATCTGTATGGTCATTCGCACTTCGAGCTGAGCTTGTGTGCTCATGTATTTATCGGATTCATAGTCCAAAACCCCCAAAATACTATACACATTCGAGCGTTCAGCATCGTAAGATAGCATTTCAATTCGGACTGCTTTTAATATATAGTTCAAAGGTAAGGTTACCTTTGCGATATAACTAGTTATTAGTAATATGTCAGCGCATAACTAGTAGGGCTTGAGCCCCACATGTATTTAAACCTGTTTTTTTACCCCTTAATACAAACCACCGTTGTTGACACCTTCATGCGACATAATATTAGTGCCTAAAGATGCCTGAATCTTTGCTGGCGGAAAATATGAATACCCGAATTACCTTAAAAGAGCACTTAGTACGGAGTAAATAAAGTACTTCCGAGGTTGAATTCTTGAATTTCTTTAAGGACAACATTGATACCTTAGAAAAGACAAATGTGACGTTATTCGCACCTATACAAATCCTGGGATTCCCTTATTTCTAGGCGTTGAAGTGTTCCTACTGTATACTCGTCCCCCTCTCTCCTTCTACTACCCCGTACGCTTACTCTGGTCGCCGTATGACAATAAGAATGGATATATGGTATGAGGCATGAGAGGCTTCAACGGCTAGAAACGGGATATTCCAGATATTTGTAAGGTGGGAATAGCTTCAATATGGGAGCTTCCTTTACATTACCCGGTATACTTTGTAGAGCGGTGCCAAAGGCGGTATATAACGAGGCATCATTAAGCACCTGGGCACCTTTCCAAGGTTAGGCACCAATATTACTAATAATTGGTTTCCGATTCCTGACTGGGATACGCCTTCACATGTCTTACCTATGTGATTAAGAGGAATCTAGTGTTTACCGCTGTTACCGCGTATTTAATATCTTGTTTCTAGTCCTCTCTAATATGGCTAATAACATTAATCATAATCCCGACAAAGGACACGTACGGAGTATGGACCTCGTGAACTTCTAAGGCTTGGAAGCAAGTGGCCCATCCGCCGTCAGAAGGACGGGTTGTGGGGCCCCGGCGCATTGATCACACGCTATCTGGCCATTATCCGAGTCTAGGCCATAGGATGTACTTTTGTATTTTTTTTTTTTTTTTTTTCATTTGAATATCTATGTCCTAGGTGCTCCGTACTAGCTCTGATACTCACACCCCTATACTACGTACACCGACATATATTGACATAATTAAATGGGATCTCTCAATTCCATTCTCGTGTCCGCGGATCATTACGAGCTCTGGCATCTTGGATAGGAACTAAAATCCCTGACCTAATAGAGCCTTGTTCGCTAAATAACCGCCTTGACATTTGAAAATAAGAATACATATGGAGTGGTCCACTCGAGCAGCTAGGTTAGACATATTCATATTTGCGGATCTGTGGTATTTCATTGTGTCTCCCTTTCATCTGCCGCTAGACTGCCAAAATGCCTAGTGCCACTGCTACAGGTGGTTTTGGCCCAGCACCGCCTAGGGTAGATCTGGCATAGAACCAGACAGACAATCTGTTGGGAGCAGTCATTCCTATAGCGGCACTCGGGACCACTGCAGTTATATTGCGTTTGGCTTCGCCGATGAAGACCAAAGAGTTAGGAAATTAGCTGTTGATGACTACCTAATAATTGCAGCACTATTATTTTCTTGGGGCACAGTAATATTCTGCTTTATAAGTGAGTAGAAATTTATTTCTAGAATACTAAATGAATGGGCACAGCACTTACGCGAGACTCCCTAGGCATTCCGTTTGGCAATGGATATCATCTGCAGTCTTTGACCAAAGTGGAGTTTATTACTGTTTGGAAAGTAAGGGAAAGACTCTGACAAAACATCCAGATACTTTTTACCTATGTTATGATTTACGCCACATCCGTCACCTTCACAAAGTCTTCAATCGTCTTCTTTTACGGCCGCATCTTTAACTTTCGCTGGTCACTAGGCTGGTGCATGTTCGTGGTTCTTGGGTATTGGGTCACCATTATGGTCACAGTTGCAGTGGCCTGTCGACCACTACCATGTTTCTGGCTAGCCTATACTGATCCAACAGCCACTGGTGTATGCATTGATGTGCCCACATTCTTTTTTGGCAATGGCATTGGTGCCATGTTGGTTGATGTGATAATATTGTGTATGCCACTGCCAACAATCTACAAGTTGCAGATGCAATTGTCGCAGAAGATAGCGTTTATGGGCATCTTGCTCTTGGGAAGCTTGTATGTTTTCACCTCCTGCTGCTACTTCATTCTGGCTAGTTGCATTCAGCGTTTGTGTGGCAAGTATTTGCCGAATCATCGCACTTCAGAAAAACACCCACAGAACAGATGCTACATGGGCCATGGCACCATGGTGGGCCAAGGTCTGGACAGGGCGTTCATCAAATAGTCGCAGCACCGATCCAAGCGATGGAAATTCATCTGCTACAAAGACCTGGCTTCGGAAACCCCTAGCAAAAACGCCACCCAAGGACTCATTCTTCAGCATCAATGACTTTGAATGTATAGATGAAGTCCAATTAATGAGCGATATAACTGTCACTCGGTCATCGAGGGACGGGGCTGTGAGTGACCACCAAGACGTGGAGCAAGGACATTCCGGTAGTATTACAGTCCAACAAGATGTGGATGTAATACAAAGTAGGTACTCCGTACTCTGTACTTTGTGTGTATTTAACATCGCATTTGGAGGCGCTACGTGCCGCTATGACTTTCCATGCCAGTTGACAGGAGTCAGAAATGTGGCGAAAGCTAGTAGATCCAACCGCGGGACGGGTTAGCCGTCCCGGGGGCCCTAGACCCTAGGGCTGGGGCCAGTGTGGAGACAAGGTGCCAGTGGGATTTGTATCAGCCAACTATATTGTATCAGGTACTTCTGTTCATATTGCTGCTATGGACTATCCCTCAATAAGAAGCCTGTGCAGGGTACGGAATAACGAGGGTCTAAGCCCTAAATCCTTTCACCTTGTGTAAGAAAAGCTCATATGCCCCTGAGTTTGTTTGTTTTTCCCCCTATATCCTATAATATATATGTATGCAGTTTCTACAGGAGATATATTAGCATCATAAGAGGAGCTCACCGATAATTGACCCCTCATATCCCGCCCCCAATCCCTTCAAGATGCGTTACCAACTAATTCCAAATGAGCTAAAGAGTGGTTCCGACTCTCTCCCAACATCTGCTACTCGCGTTGCAAACGGCGAGACCCCTCCCAACTGGGTTCCCTGCGCCGAGCAACCTGCATATGCGCGACGGAAACTAAAGATAATCTGCATCGGCGCGGGTTACTCGGGTTTAACGCTTGCCCACAAGATTGACCATGAACTGAAACTCGGCGATTTCGTGGAACTGAAGACCTACGAAAAGAATCCTGAGGTTGGTGGAACATGGTTTGAGAATACCTATCCTGGTGTCGCCTGGTGAGTATTCTATCTATACTCATAATACACATGACTGCATTAACTGACCTATCTAGCGATATCCCTGCCCGTAAGATAAATACTTCAGTGGCTTTTTGGCAACCAAGATTGACATCCACTTAGATGCATACACGTTCTTATTCGAGCCTAATCCAAACTGGTCCCACTTCTATGCACCCGGCCCCGAGATCGAGGAGTACATCCAACAAACAACAAGGAAATGGAACCTGGACAAAGACATCCAGTTTAACAGCCGTGTTACGAAGACGGTGTGGGATGATGAGGCGGGGAAGTGGAAGGTGGAGGTAAACCAGGGTGGCACAATCATGCATGACGAGGCTGATATTCTGGTCAATGCGTCCGGGTTTTTGAAGTGAGAATTATTTGTCCTTGGCATCGTTTCTCTTACTAACGGTGATATTCTGGTTAGCAAAACCAGCTGGCCGGACATTGAGGGCCTATCGAGCTTTAAGGGAAAGTTGCTTCACACTTCTATCTGGTGAGCAAATGTTGTTTATGAACTGTCGAACATATAGTAAGAATCATACTTAGGGATAACACCTACGACTGGTCAAACAAACGTGTTGCGGTCATTGGTAATGGGTCTTCCGGAATTCAATGTGTGGCTGCGATGCAGCCGAAGGTCGCCCAGCTTGTCAACTTTGTGCGCAACCCGACCTGGGTTTCTGTTAACTTCTGTGCGGAGAAAACACAAAATGGAGGCAATTTCCGCTACACAGAAGAGGAGAAAGCGCATTTCGCAGAAGATACCGAGGCCCATTTTAAGTATCGAAGAGAGTTAGAGGCCAGGCAAGTTCAGATTACACACAACCACCCTCAATAAACAAATTGCCAGAACTAACTCAGCTTTGAATAAAGTGTAAATGCGTTCTTCTATGGCATGTATAGAGACCACCCGATGCAATTGGGGTTGACACAAGCTTGCCAGCAACAAATGGAGGAGCGAATGAAAGGAATCTCCGACCCAGAAATTCTGTCAAAGCTGCTTTGTCATGATTTCCGTCCTGGCTGCCGTCGATTGACACCAGGAGATGGATATCTGGAGGCTTTTTCCAATGATAATGCAACTCTCACCTTCGATCCGATTGAGCGTATCACAGAACAGGGCATCAAAACGGTCACAGGTGATGAGCAGCAATTCGACATGATAGTCTGTGCCACAGGATTCGACACTTCCTTTATTCCTTCTTGGAAGATGATCGGTCGCGGTGGAGCCACGCTAGAAGAGCGATGGAAAGGTAACCCCGAGGCTTTCTTTGCTGTCCAAGTGGACACCATGCCGAACTATTTCATTTTCAACGGGCCCAATTGTCCTATCTCCCATGGCTCAGTTCTAACGCAGATCTCTTGGACATGTAATTACATTCTCCGCTGGGCGAAGAAGATTTCTTCGGAGGATATCAAGTGAGTTATTACGGTCTCCATGAGTGGCGTTTGACTAACATATTTCACAAAGGTCAATTGATGTCAAAAGGGAGGCCATGGATGACTACAATGTTTACTGCC